CATTTCCATTATTAAAAAAACTTGCTTGCGCCGAACAGGAAAGTGCAATTTCAAAGTAAGCTGCACCCCGGGGACACAGTTTCTTGTTGCCCCGGGCCATCCGGGCAAGGGCGTTTGTCGAGCCCGCAACCGCAGGGTTCGACTTTCGCGCTGAAAAATCTAGTGACAGCAGGTACCACGTCAACTTCAAGAAAGTTGGGATGACCTGCACTTATAAATTTAGGTGTGTCCAGCTTATTGTACTGACAGTGATGTACAAAAATAATAGTATAAGATAACCAATTGGAATAAAACAGCATAAGCGGCATAAAAACAAGGAGTTTAATGGAAGACAAATATGTGTCTTTAATTAAGCTCTATGATGTTAACTTAATACGTTGAGTTGGTCAAATAATTGTTTCAATCTCTAGGAATATATCGCGGTGGAGCGTTCTGGGTAAAGTTTTTACTTTTGTTTTTTTCTTCCCACAGTCCTTATGGTACCCCCATGCATAGATCTCATCAAATGCTGCCGCGCAATCCACAAAGTTACAAGTGCACTAGAATCTTCAAGTATATACAGTTTACATTTCTGTCTAATATCTACGCTGAATACAAACAGATCCACTTTCCTAACGCTGATCAATTAGAAAACAGCTATTGATTACGTGGACGTGTCAGGTGTCACCTGGGTCGTGCCCTAACTTCCACAATAACCCCTGCGAATATATAACTTGATTGTTACGCGGGTTATAAAAACAGCATTGATTTCTTAACTAATCAGCGAGTTTTTGTTCGTGTGTGCCGCGAATCATGCGATTGAGGGAGTTCAGTGCAGCTCTAGATGTTTTGATACACCTTAAAAGCTGTTCTTACGTTGAAGGAACGGGTACGTAACGTGTCCGGCCGGCGAGGAGCGATTTTTTTCTCGGTAGCTTCCAAAATTTTTCGCTCTCGTAATGTTGTTTAACAAGAGCGCTTTTGAAAGCTGACGGAGCAAATCGCTCGCGCCTCCCGTATATTTTTTTCGCTGCTGATGCATACATACTGTAGGCGGCAATCCTGGACGATCTGCAGCCCGGATATCCGTGCGAAGCGCGCGAAACGCCGCGCAGCGGTGACAATACATCTTATTCGCTGCCCTATTTATAAAAATTTGCGGCAGATGCCCTTTGGTCGATGGGCCCACTTTTATAATCGGAAAGGCCCCCCTCCAAAGCCGATGTAGCCGAGCCGATGTACGTGTCCCGAAAACTGCACGATGTTAGGCTGCCCGCTATACGCATTCGCGCGCGCGCCTTCCTTCGGCGCGCGAATTCGTATAGCGGGGAGCGCGAGATGCTACATACAACACCCCGCGGTCGCGTGCGCCCAGTCCCGCGGAAGTGCGCGGCTTAACCGCTTTCGGCGGTCGGGGAACAACGCATCTTTTGCGCAACACCATCTTGTACCCGGTCTCTCTGGATTTTTGGGGGTTAAAATTTAAGGATTTTACTGCTAACTTTACTGCTAACTTCAGCCTGGACCATAATTTAAACACTAACCTTAAAAACTAATCCTAAACCCTAACCCTACACCGAAACCGAAACTCTAAACCGCCCCCTAAAACCAAGGTATGCCACAGGCTTTTACTTACATTTGACTGTAGAAAAGTGAGAACACCACTTCGTAGATATTTTGCTGTCCTTCTTTCCAGGCAGTTGGGAGCTGCCAATACCGCATGAAAAAAACAGTTGCCGTCATAGGAAACATTGGTCACCAGCTTGTAACCATGAGGCTTGATTGCGGAAACAAAATCATCCAGGGGCCCGTTGTCAGAAACAAATTAGTCTTAACATTAACGTTAACATTAACTTTTTCTCTTAAAGCGTTGCCAGAAACTTCGTAAAGTTAAGAGAATTAAAAATTCTCGTAACTTTTCTCTTAACTTAAGAGATCCTAGACCCTCCCTTAACTTTAATATTAAGATGAAAATAACACATTTAGACTAAGAATTACAATTATAGTGATATTATATTTTATATTAATGAGTAATATCATGTTTTTTTCTTGAAAAGACACGTCAAAAACATTAATTATCTACCGATCGTGAAGCAAAACAAAAGTGTCAGAACATTTACAAATGCCGTATGGCATTTGTTCTCTTGTTTTAAATACTTTTGCACTGACCACACGACTCTCGCGTCTCGTGAGAATTGCTACAGTGTGAGAATTTGTCTTGTTGTGCAGAACCTTGGTGCAGAATAAATTCAACACCGTGTCGTTTTTCATCAAATATTATTTATATGTGGTTAGCCATCATAATATGCATAAATTACTGTGATGTACAATAAATGTGTATGAATTTGAATTTTGTGATCGATTCCCATCCAATCAGCAGCCTTGTGATGAAGTTCCTGTTATCGAAAGTTTATACTTAAGTAAGTTTAGTTAAAGTTGGTTTCTGGCAACGCTATTAAAATTAACCTTAACATTAACATTAGACTTAAAATTAATCGTAACTTTACGAAGTTTCTGGTAACGGGCCCCTGGGGAAAACAGGAACTTCATCACAAGGCTGCTGATTGGATGGGAATCGATCACAAAATTCAAATTCATACACATTTATTGTACATCACAGTAATTTATGCATATTATGATGGCTAACCACATATAAATAATATTTGATGAAATATTACGTGGTCATGAATTAATTCTGCACAACAAGACAAATTCTCACACTGTACCACGAGACGCGAGAATCGTGGCAAGCGTTGCAAACCTTTGAAACAAGAGAACAAATGCCATACGTCATTTATAAATGTATTGTTTTGTTTTATTAGCGGTAGATAATTAATGATTTTGACGTGTTTTTCAAGAAAAACACACATTTTATT